AACGGTTGATCGACCGCGTACACGCGCCTTGCGAAACGCAGTCGAATCGCCGAGGCGTTTCTTTTTTCGCGCACCGACGAAATGAGACTCGCTCTCGCGCCCGGCAACAACCCCGGCGAGCTCGCTGTCGAAACGCTATTTCTCCGTAGCGCCGTCGCGCGATGCCTCGTACGATCGTAGATGCGTCGCGCGACGCATCGTACGATCGTAGTTGCATCGCGCGAGCGCGGCGCCGCCGATCGCTCTTCAGCCGCGTTAGCTGAAACCCGAGGCCGACACGGTGGTGCGCGGCAGGCCAACCGTCATCGATGCAACGTCGATGTAACGTCGATGCAACGCCGTCAGAGACACGCGGTGACGTCGCGTGACGAAGTCGAATCGTTGCCCCGGCGTATCGGCGATACCCGCGCTCGCGAAGTCAAAGTCTCGTGGCCACGTGTTGTCGCGGCCGCCGCGCTTCATTCAGAACTTCGCGCTCGCTTGTTCTGCCGCGTGTGCATCGCGCGGGTTCATGGCACTCCGCGAAAACGACATGTGCGTTGCAGTTACGTCGCAACATAATAAACGCGTAATTTGACGTGCCATCCTGCGAGTCTTACGCTTCCGAAGGTATTTCTCAGTTTGATACGCGCACTTTTTTTACGTGCTTCGCCAGCGTTTCGCCAGGTTTCCTTGCAGGAAGCTCAATTCTCCGAGCGCCACTTCTCTCGTCTGTTCACGATCAGAAAGTAATAGATTTAAATCGTAATGCATAGGCCTCGCGATGTCTCATTTCTCTCAATTATATTTCGTCTCTCGCGAGAATTTTTTCGCCAACTTCACTCTGCCGCGGATCTTGCGCGGAAACAGCTGACGGCAGTTTTCCCGCCGCAATGTTCCCCGTAAAACGACGCGAGAGAATCAAGACCACGGTCCTGGCGCGATTCAAGCGAGCGGCGAATCCGTAGCCTCTCGTCGGATTCCTCGCGGTATCGTTCTCGCGCGACCGTGCCAAGAAGCAATTGAGGCGAATTAAAGGGACAATTAGGCGAGCCGGAGCTTCGGGCAGACAGCTGGACGCACCGAGAGTCTTCACCGACATCGGCGTCCGCATGGATTTTTACGCGCGAGACAAGTTCCACGACGACGCCTTTCGATCTTACCCCGGTCAGCCGAATGAAAAGTTGTTAACTGCCAAGAACGTTGAGTCCGAAGACTTTTGTCGCGATCAGGCTGAGGAAACTATTACTCGTTCGATCGTGAACAGGCGAGAGAAGTGGCGCTCGGAGAAATGAGCTTCCTTTGGCGGAAACCTGGCGAAACGCTGGCGAAGCACGTAAAAGAAGTGCGCGTGTCAATACAAGTTTCTTTTTTTCTGATTTTTCCTGGACTTTTGTTATCTGAATTTTGAACGGAACTTGCAGGAAGAGCCTGCCCTAGTAGCACAGTGCACGGACCCAAGTTTTAGTAGTATTGGGCCAATGTTCCACCAGTGTTTGGTCTGTGCACTGTGCTACTAGGACGATCCCTCCGGCCAAGTGACGCTCCAGCGTCCGGGAATCGTGGGCCGAAAGGATGCTCGCTGGTCCCTCCTCGCGTACGCTCATGTCGGGAGACGTGCTCGCGCCGAGTTTAAAGACGATCGCGCGATTCTCTCGCCCGTCGTCGACGCGATCTCATTCCGTTGGCTACGTCATCCGGATGAGCGGGCGAGCGACAATGGAATCGCGCAATTTCATTTTCTCCTTACTGCTAGTTTGCGACGCGTTACTTTGCGCTTCGCTTAAATCGCGGCCGACCAATTCAGCCGCGTGCTCGCGCTTAAACGATTCTCCGAAAGCCGCCGTAAATATGCGCTCCTCGCTGAGGAGGGGTCGAGACACGATGAAATGCAAGAATGAGATACCAGAGACCGGGGGGAACAAAAGTGTCCAACGAGGGGGTAATCACTAGCTAAAATGTTGTCGCACCGATTACACGATTTCATACGTTTTCATCTGGTTACAAATAATCTCATCGATAATAGTTGCAAATAATTTTATGCACGTTTCGAAATATGTAACGTTGTTGGTTGCCCCCCCTGGTGTCCAATCTGCAAGGGAAAACGGATTTCAACGCGTGCAGCTTAGTTTCAACCTCAACAGGTTCGCCCCGCGACGCACGCGTTGGTTTTCCTCCTCCGCGCGGTATTTTTTTTTTCTTTCCTTTACTTTGCTCACTACATTTTACAGTGTGCGCTAACGACACTTTGATTATCCCCTTTCTCTTATTTCCTATTTCGCGCTCGTGCGCTTACGCGCGCGACGTACTTTATTTCCCGCGCTCGTAAAGCCTCAAGACCGCGGCCGCGATAAGATCGATACGCGTTATCAAAGATCGGCGCGCGCTTAGTACCGTTTCAGAGATCTTATCTCCGACATAGGGATGTCGTAAGTTCTGATGCAAAGTGCAGCGCGTGTGCATCAGACACTTCGTGAGCATTGTGCAAAGTGCGACGTGAGTGAATGGTAATGTTTCTAGGGTACGTCCCCTAGAAACTTCCACATTCATCACGCGTCGTTACGTTATTTACATGTCATTAAGGACAGATGCTAATTGCAACTGTAAAGCTTGGCGTTTGTTGGTAAACTCGTAAAAGTACGACGGCTCGTTAATTACGGCACTCGATTTTTCGCTTTGGGCTCTACCCCCGACGGAGCCGCTCTTCGAGCAAGTAGGTCGCGGTTAGTTGCATTCTTTTTTTAAATGTATATCGGTGCCCCCCACGCGTGCACGCGTAAGAGCGCGTCGTAATATCGCAGTGACGTAACGCGCGTCGCGCGGAAAAAGCGTAAAAGTCGTGCGAGTGGACGATTGCGTCGGATTATTATCGGCTCCTCGCGATTCGGTTCCCATTTGGCACGCGCGCGACCGGTTTCGCAACGCTCGTCGTAACAACGCCGGCGATCGTCGCCGCGGTTACCGGAAAGCGCGAGCCCCGGCAGGAGAGGCACAATTCATTAATAAAACACCGAGCATACGCGGTCCATAACAGTTTTTTTTTTGGTTCATGTAACGAGTGCGACGAGCGGCTCGCGGTTGTTAAGTAATGCGCGCGTTGCACCGCGTATGACCTGAATTGTTTATGCAGACGGTCGTCTTGCATTGAATCTGCGAGAGTAATTTATCTGGATGCAGATGAGGCCGCGTGCGCGCGCTTTTTCCTCCTTTCTCCCCGTTTCTTAAGTAACGGAGCCTTCATTCGAGGGAAATCAGAGGTAATTTTCTCGATTGGCTTAATTGGTCGTTTCTTATTTTAAGTATTCAACTGGCGAGATCGCCTACGTAAGTTCAGCGATTCATGAGCCATGTGGAAGGATCTATTTAACCCATGCAGCCGTGTGCAACTAAGAACGGCCGTGCACACATATAATTTTAAATTCTACAGCACAATGCTGCTATAAATATTGGTCTCTTAGAGACCCGACCCGGCGGAGAAACTGTTTATGCAAATACCCGAGCGTATTGGATTTCTAATGTTAAAAGAGAAATGGAGCAAGCCGTACTGTCAATTAAAACCGAGACATTTAAATCACTCGGTAGTTCATGACGTCGTCGATTAATACATTTTTCCCCCGTGATCTTTCAGTAAATTTTTAGTTACGCCGCCTCGAAATGCATCAACAAATACGTGTTTGCGAAATAATCTTTTCAATTCGACGTGCGCGTAAAGCAACGTTAGTCTACTTTTCAACAGGTCTATTTATCGAGCTAGCGGAAGATCGGATTTTAACTGATATTCGAAATATTTCATGTCAAGTACTTCGGAGTACTTGGACGGAAAGACCGGTTACGGCAAAAATAACTAAAATTAAAATTAGGCTATTAGGAACTAATCTTTGATTTTTCACCTACGACCTGACAATGGTGTCGAGATGTTGGAGGAAGGGGGAGGGGAATAGGGGATACTTAAAAATCGCGTCTCGTCAGTTCTGTGTACGACCGACAACCTTAAACGGCGCGCAGTTTAAAGTCGAAACATAGACGCGTAGACAACATCTTTATACTGTTACTGCGACAAATATTATCACATGTCTCGGTGGTCGAATTGGTGAGACACCCGTCTGGAGTGTAGGGAGGTCCAGGTTCAAACCCTGGCTGGCTGAGGTAATATTTTTCGCAATAAATTTTCTGCATTGACAGAGAAACCAACAAATGTGGCCAGCTGTGGTCGAATAAAATTTGGAATTTTAGTATTCTACTGGCAATGAGGAACTAATCTAAAATTAAAATGTTGCCGTATAAATGGCAGGGGCACCCGAGTCGAAATTTTGGTACTATTTTCACACTTTTAAGGATAATTTACACCTACTTAAGCTGATCTAGACACTTACACAGACCAGCGATAACCTACTTTGACATTATATTCTTTAGTTCTCCCTTGAAGCTTCAATTCTAAACATTTACTTTAGCCCCTACTTAAAAGGACCGACTTTAATACTAAATTGGCCAAGGTAGAAATTTCCGACACTATCAGTTTTAAAGTAGGAGTAAATTTTGTACTTTCAGTTCGACCCCTTTTACCGTCTTAGGTCCTACTGTACAATAGAATTAAAGGTTCAACATAGGGCCAAAATTTCGACTCGGGCATCTACATTGTTTTGTGTTGCATCCACTAGGTTTGCTGCACAAAACGCATATAGTTGTCTCCACTACTTATAATACGGGTATGACAACCACAGATATAGCTGTCCCAAATAGTACTATTTATTGGGGTTGCGCCAACCCTAATTAGACATGTAACCATATCGGTCTCTCCGTATGGTTTTAAAATAAGATTTTTATAAAGCAGCTTTCGAGGGTCGATTTTGAACGATTTTTAGAACAAGTCCACTTTTCTGTAGAAACAAAGATTTCGTTCTAATGGAAATGATATTGTCCTCAGGGTGTCTCTTAATAAAAATGGCATTTATCCGCCGAACGGTCGCTCACAGGTGTAAGAGCTGCATCCGTAAAAGGCACAGATCGTTTGAGGCACGTACCATGTCCAGATCCTTCCGGCGAACGCTGGGTCTCCCGATGGCCACGCAAGAATAATTCCTCGACGAGATCTCTCCGATCGTGTCCGGCGTCCTTCTGATCCGTGCGTCGCGACGCATCGCGTCTAATATACACCTCTCTACGGGGTGTCCACGGCGTTTGTACCCCCGTCTTCGCCCCCCGCGCTCGATCCTCGTCAACGATCGCGTTATCGCCGCCCTCTTACCACGCTCGTAGCCGTGTGCCGCTATTACTTCCACCGCACCACGAAGATGCCCCAATTGTGCGATCCGGACAGAAATAGAGTCTGCAATCTTCCGAGTAATGAGTAACCGCCGTCTACTTTTTCTTACGTCGTCGAAGGCGAGCTTCTTGATCTCGTTTCAACCCCGCCCCCCCCCCCCTCCCTCGCAGCATCCGTCCTTAGGGGTATTCCACTCCGCGAGGAGCACAACACGTGCGTTCGCTCCGTCCTTCCTTCTGTTTACCTAATTTACTCGCGATGATCCCTTAATGCCGCGACGCTCGGTGGGTGTGGGTGGATATTAGCTTTATGTGCAGAGAAGCGGATAATCAGCGGCAATTTTAGGGCACACGTGGAGACCGATGCCGCGATGCAGGATTGTCTCGTCCACGTGCCCGCGCGTTCGCGTCATCCCACTTCTCGCGTATGGACTTTTCGTCCCGGACTTTGGCTGGACAGGGGCTTCGGGATGGACGCCAACGACAAAGGGGGTTGTTAACGTCGACGTGCGAGCCCACGAGCGTGCTATTTTCGTTGCGCTAAAAGGATACACTTTTGAAAGAAATATATAAATAGGCGGTATATAAATATATTTTTTTGTGTTCAATCATGCGCACACAGTGCAAGTGTACACGTGTGCGTCTCCTCTTTTTCCTCGGCGACGACTGTCCTGTAATCGAGGTTCGTCTTTATTAGTCACGCGACGTGAGGAATAAATCCATGTATTTGACATAAATTGAACGGCCCGCGTCCCTTCAAATCTGGCAAATCAATTTTATTCAGTCTCTGACACGTAACGCTGTCATTACGCTATTTTTACAAAAAAAAATATATGTGTGTGTAGAAAGGGGTAGATTTGAAGCTTCCAAATGTTTCGCAACAAAATTCCAAATTAACGAAAGAAACTTTCAATTTACGGGCTATCGGTAACTGTGCCTAAAATTATGTCTGACGAATCACGTCACTGAAAAAAAAAGTTCGCTACCGTAGAAAATCATGATTTACTAAAAATATTTTGCTGCATTAACTATAAATTTCTAAACCACAGCAAACGCTTGCTGTCGCACCTAATAGGCACATCAGTAGCAAAGTATTAGCCATCACAACTAAATATTAGCTAACATAAGACGCCCGTCACGGATTGAGGGAGGTCCCGGGTGCGAATCCTGGCTGAGGTAATATTTTTCGCAATAAGAATAATTTACAATACGGAAAAGGGGGGCATTGAATGCTAAATGTAGCATCTAAAAATACTAAGCGTAGCATTTAAAATATAATTACAAATCGTTTATCGATTTGAACATGTGAATTTGCTGACGATAATAACTCCACGCGTAAGATAACTGCGTTATGTTCGAAAAGAAACAGGCGCGTGCGGGACAAAGGTGGAAAGAAACGGTATATGAATTTACATTTTAATAAATTACAAGTATAGGCTACCTACATCTTGCCTTAGACCCGCATTAGCCGTTTTCTATATGTTGTTTAAATATTAGCTGTTCATATTTTACAACTGCAATTTAGTTACCACGTGCGGTTTTTAGCTACGGCGGCTACATTTTTGTTTCCGTGATGGCATAATTAGAAGCGGCAAAAATAATACGAGCTCGAGAATACTCGTGCGTTCTTACGTGCTTCATTCGTTCGAGGATCGTCTGACATCCCGAGCTTGTCCTCGCTGACGGGGAACTCGCGCAAGTTGCGAGAATCGCCTATCCGTGTTTTCCAGCAATTTCATAGCGACGTCATAATGAGATGATTGATATAGCCGACCCTTAAGGAACGTAGATTCCCATAAGCCAATCTCTATCACGCGACCGGCAAAAAGTCCCGAGATCGACAGATAAAAAGGACGCGCTGTTCTTGTATGACTAATCGCCTGACGTGGACCACTTTTGCACCAAGTGCACTTCGATCTTCGGCAAAAACGTCCTACTGAACTGCCATTTCCGAAGTTGCCGTCGCGTGTGAGGTAACGTACGTTCTTGGTGTTAGAGAAATCGCGAGGTGCGTGTCCGCATTTGTATATATACATTTGCATATGTAAAACCGCGTTTGTTAATGTAATGACACACGAGCTCGAACGTGTTAATTCCGTTCGATCGAGACGAGAAATTAGAAGTTCCACGAATTAGCACTCGTCCGGTAAGTGCAGAAATAACCGTGGACTTCGCGCGGTACGGCACGTAATACCATTCCGGTCATTTTTCCTTTTCGGAGATTCCGAGCTCGTTCTTCTTGGTGATAGAAGTCCAATGTTCACTTCTACCAACGTGAATTCATTTTAATTCTGATTTAATTAATCTCTTTCTAGCTCTAAGAATTGGAAAAAGATAAAAAGTAAGTTAAATCGGGATTAAGGTTAATCTACGTTGGTGGAAACGGGCGTGAAGCCCGTATCAGACCTGCGGATTGAGATTGAGATTAGATTGAAATTTGACCAATTAGAGTAAAAAAGTCACTAAACTTGAGATTAGTAAACTTTACTCTGAGTGGTCAAACTTCAACCTAATCCCTAATCCTAATCTCAATCTCAATCCGTAGTCTGGTACGGGCTTGAGACATCGTCAGAGAATGTCGCGAAGACGAGAGAACGCGAATTCCGCGAAATTTATTCACCGCAGAAGAATGGCTGCTTCCAGCTTGGGAGAGAAATTCTGTTATCTAAAGAAATTCAATCGGAAGTTTCGTACGAAATCGCGAAAAAGTAAATGTAACGTATCTTATTTCCTGGTATTCTCAGTGCGCAAGCAAATACTTGTGAGTTTACGACGGCAACGCCACAACTGCGGGGAAATACGCGTTCAGAGTGGAGAATCGAATCCGCGTGCTCTCCTCGCGGATTCGCGTGGCGTCGACGTCCTTGCCGATTCTGCGAAGCATCGCGGGGGAAGATTCCGCCTGGGAATCGCGCGTGTTTCCCGCGCGGCGTGCGCGCGCGGTGAAATCGCGGCGGTTTTGCGAGCTGCCGAGACGACGCGCAGCCGCGATTCAGCCCGCGTGTTGCATAAATTCATCGCACGGAGAGCCTTTCCAATTCCTGGCATGTTCCTGTACCAGCGGCTTCTGTGCCGCTTCTCGGCCGCCCGGGTACACACTCTGCAAGCAGTTAGGTGCCAAAGCTTATTTTACAATGGACGCAAGACGCTAAGTCACGATGCAAGAAATCGACCAATCAAGATCAAATACGAGAAGAATGACAGACTGTCAGTGACCGATTTCTTGCGTTTAGCGTTCAGAATAAGTTTTAGGCTGGTTCTACAGTAGACGCAGCAAGTCGCAAGCTGCAAGAAATCGGCCAACGACAGTGTAACTATTCTTCTCAACTTTGGCTGTGATTGGTCGATTTCTTGCGGCTTGGACTTGCTGCTTGTATTACAGACATAGGACGCTAAGTCGCAACGTAAGAAATGGACCAATCACAGTCAAATACGAGAAGAATGACCGACTATCATAGGCCGATCTCTCGCGTTGCGGCTTAGCGCCTTGCGTTTTGCGTCCATTGTAGAATAAGCTTAAGAGTTTCTGCGTCGTTGCGACGCGCGGCTTCGGTCGCGACGTCGTTCGCACTCGCGCACGTGCAACCGGAAGAGATCTCTCTAACCGCTAGTTGTTTCGTTAAATATTTGCCGCGCGCAAATAGAAAATTAAGACGGGACTTTCCAACGTTCCGCGAACGCTATTGCGCTACTCTCCTCGCGTATCATCCCCTGATGGTCGTCGCCGATTCGTTATTCGGCTGTTCCTCGCGCCTGTCGCCGCGGTTTTTCCGCGAGGGCAGAACTCGATCGACGGGCAGAACCGCGCGAGTGCGCCGCGCATTCCTCGCGATGAAATTACTCGGCGGCTATATATAGATCGGCCCCGCGGCCGTTCCTCTATATATCTTATTATGGTAAATGAAAGTCCCCCGGTGGTGCGGCCATACCGGAACGATAGCTGCCATATGGGAAGCTTTTAGAAACGCGCGCGAGCTGGCGAGTTATGCGCGGCGATACGGGGCCTCCCGTGCGTTACGTCGAGAAGGAGCACAGTTTAATTCCCATTCACTCGCCGAGGCGAGCACGACGCGCGCATGACGATAAATTCAACGAACGCGCGAGCGGCCGAGGTTGAAATTCCGCTCGCGCGATGTACGGCTAAGGACGTGACGAGCCGCACGTATATCCGTGGTATAGAAATCGCCGGGACCACTGCCAATCGCCGGGACCGGTCAAGTGTCGAGAGAGGATCGATTATCCCGAGCGAGAGAGACGCTTCTCTCCTTTTCTCTCGGTGGCGAATGTTTGCGCTTACCCCGCGACTGATGCCGCAGAAATACGCGTTATTTATAGCGGAGAGCCCTGGGCGAACGTGGTGCGTTACGCTAATCCTACCGCAAACGGACTAACCGATCGCTAAGTGGCACAGCGGCGCTGCTGCCCGTTGACTACTATCGGCCGCGAACGATCTTCGCAAACATCAACACTTAGATCCCGCCCGGAGCAGCTCTAACTCTTAATTAGCTGAATCAACCCCGGCTCTGGCCACGTCCTAGTCGTGGTTTAGGTTTCACCGACCTCGATATTAACGTCGCCTCGCGAATCTGGACGTCGCGTAAAGAACCCTCTAGGGGGGCGGGAAAGGGGACTGGGTCTCCGCTGGAAGACCAGCTCGGTCCTACGTTTCTCGGGCTCTCCTAGAGTAGACGTATCTCATGAATCTCTGATGGAACGCCAAGCGTAATCGCCGATTACCATTGCTCGTAATGACGAGAGGTATCTTGCGGACCAGACGAGATGCCGCCAACGATCGCTGCGAACGACGTGGCGTGTGTTCGCCATCGTCGGACCCACCGAGGCCAAGAGAGAGAGAGAGAGAGGGGGGGGGGGGAGAGACCGTCGCTGCCAGGCACACT